TGTAGCAGAAGCAACTGAGTTCTGTGGGCATGGCTGCCCGTTAATGCTGCAATGGGCACCATTTTGAATCTCTCTGAGTGGCAGGTTTTTTTAAAAAAATTAAAACATTTTAGGTAATTAAACAGAGCCAGTTAAGTGCTGGCCTAGAAACCAGGAGACCATGAGTTCTAGGCCTCCGTTAGGCACGAAAGCTGGTTGGGTAACTTTGGGCCAGTTGTTCTCTCTCAGCCCAACCCACCTCACAGGGTTGTTGTTGTGGGGAAAATAGGAGGAGGAAGGAGTGTTAGGTATATTCGCCACCTTGAGTTATATATAAAAAAGGCAGGGTTGATGATGATGATGGTGATAATAATAATTCAGAGTGATGGCCATGAGTCTGTAAGCATGACTGAACAATGGTGTTGCTTGAAATATGTGTTTTAAATAATTTTCAGTTTTGGGAAACCCATTCTCATTTTGACATAAAAATTCCCATATGTTCCCCATCCATTCCAGAATCTAGATTTAGAATGCTTATTTAAGTTAGCAGAAAGAATGTCATTCCAAAGAAATCAAAACCCATATAAAAGCTGCACACACTTTTCAGGCATGTCTTCTGCTTCGTGTAGGGCAATGTTGTCCAAACTTGGCCACTTTAAGATTTGTTGAAGTCCACTCATCTTAAAGTGGCCAAGTTTGGACAACACTGGTATAGGGTGATGCGGGCCTAATTTGATTTGGAGATTTGGAATTTGAAGAGGGCTCGGTTCTATTGGAGTTTACGCTTTGACATTCAACAGCAATCCAGTTTGGGTCAGGCCACTTCAGGATGCAGTTCAGAAGTCTCGTCCAAAAGTTATAAAGGGGGAAGCATCAAACACATCCAGCTGCTTCATTTCCTCGGCAGAAAGGAATGAAAAGAGTGGGGGTGCTAGATCTTTAGAGGACACAAAACCTGCCAAATTTCCAGTTGGATATCATCAAGGCTTTCACCCCAACAAATGTTTGAAATATTTCCTGTGTAAGATAGAGAGAGCAGAGATGAGGAAAAGTCAGCACCATGCCTCCAAATTATCTAGCAAAGATGGTCCATTATGTTGATTAAATCAGCATGGAAAGGGAGCCACTCCAACTTAAAGATAAAACTTTCAAAAATATATCAAGCATGGTTATTGCTTTCTGCACTTACTTTTCAGGGGGCGGTGTGTGTGTGTTCAGATTTGGCGTGCAGCACTAAAAACGCACACTGACTTGCCCGTGTGGGGTGGGGTGCTTTGCTACTTCCAGTTACTGGATTGTTGCGATATCAAGAGGGTTGGCATAATAGTTTGGCCTGGGAAGGGCCCCCTCATCGCTCATTTCAGTGGGGTGCCAGGTTGGCAGGGCACATTTAGCAAAGCTTGGCCTGATCTGAGGAGGACTCATTTGTTTTAGTGTTGTGCCTTGCTGGCAGTGTTCTTTGTTGGTTATTTAGGAGAAGCGGTCTAGTACATTGAGTTACAGAGAAAAAAAGTTGGCAGAGAGAAAGTGGCATTTATTGCTGTCTCCCCTGTCTCAAAAGCAGTAAACATTTGGGTAGGGCCTGTATTAGCCTGGCACCCTTCATTCTTTATTGAGTGTTTCAAGCTTGCCCCAGTCATGCAGGATGTAAAAGTCAGGTTTGTCCCAAGAATACATCCTGGGCTAATTAAGCCTGTATTTAGTCTTGAGAGTTGAATTCTTAGTTGTATTGGCAGGACCAGCACAGAAGTGTAACATTCTGTTGTTGCAAGGGAGAGAAAAGTTAGTTTTTGCTACCTCCAAAAAGTTCTGATAGGTAGAGAGTTTAATGAGGTGATGGCTGGTTTTCATGTCAGTGCCAGTTCTGTCACTCAACCTTCTCTTAATATCTTCACATCCCCTTAGCACGGACGTGGATTTGCCACGTTCTGTATTGTATTGTCTACAACAATTCCAGAAGCAGCAGAAAAGCCGTTGGGTCTGTGAAGCTCTTCACTCTTCACAAAGTGCTTTGCGGTACCTGATTCAGTCCATTACTTCAGAGCAAATCTCTGTTTTGATTCAGTCTTCAAAGATGTGATTGAAACCTTGTCACATGGAACCACTCTTTCTTTTCTTTTGTTTGACTAGATGCTGTAGCTTCTGAACCTGCCTGTCAAATCTTGCCTCGCTTAATTCAATAATTCCAGTTGAATTGTTGAGTTCTCCTTCAGATTTTCACCTGTCAGCAACCAAGGTTTTTGCTTGAGATTATGGTCAGGATGGCTTGGCAACTGAAGGTGAAGGGTGGAAAACTACCATTTAAGGACGTTTGAGTTTTGCAGAAAAGGAAGGGAAATAGTTGTTTTTGGTCCTAATTTAGGTATGAGTTAGGTTTAAGGCCTAATTCATGACTGAACATTAAAGCCACCTTAATTAAGCCCACATAATTAAAGCTGCAGCCCTAGACTATCTTATGTGGGAGTATGCCTATTGGTCTTAATAAAGCTTGGTTTGTGAGGGACATAGATGGCTTGGAGCACTGCAGCCATACACACATTTGCTACAGGTTAAGTCCCATATTAGTAGGACTTTACTTTTGAATAAATTTGCATGGTTTTGTGTTGCTGAGAAAAATGCTTTAGAAAACAGAGTTCTGACTAGGATGATTGACCTTTGGGCAAATTGAGTGTGTTGGTGGTTTGGGGTTAAGTCTTTTTATATTTTTACCCACAATCTAAATATTGTTCTCGGAATCACATTTAGAACCCTTGGAATTCTGTTTCAGTTCCTGGAGTCTCCCCATTTCCCAACTGTATGGAGAAGTATGGACATTTTTAAAAATCTTGAAGGACAGACAGGGTTGTTATCAAGATAAAGTTGAGATAAGTGGCATATAGCTCGCAGAACTGGTTCAAGAAAGGATGTGGTTCAGACTTAACAGATAAAATGCTCCTGGGACTATAAATCCACAAGCATCTATAAAAAGTTGACTCTTCCAGCTTAAAGATAAGGAAACTTGCTGAGGCTGTGATCAAAACCATAGAGGCCAGGAACAGCTGATCTCTAATCCTTACCATGTGCTTGGGTTTTTCCAAGGTTATTTGAAGAAACAAGAAACTGCTTTCCTATTTATATTTCTCTGCTGCCTGATTTCTCTTTGCAGAAAGCCACAAGTCCTAATTAGTGACTTTTATACTATATCTGTGTTGTTGGATGGTAATTAGTGTGTTTATTGCCAGTCCTAACATTTTTATGGGCATGAGTGAATCCATGTAATTCTTCACATCACCAAAACCCACAGTTGGACCGACAACTCAAATCTTTTTTCAAATGACTATTTTTATTACTTTTATGCTTCCGGGATGAAGAGTCGACATGGTTATGGTTTTCTATTGATAACAGCGTTGTTTGGTCATATAACTCTTTTGTAAGTTAAGTGGGGTCCAGGGTTTTAGGTCTCATTGGGCCATTGGCCAAATGGGATGAATCACTGGTATTGCTTTTCTTCCACTGTATGTTTCTCAGCTGAAACACGGGTCTACCAGTCTGTTTCCAGGCCTAATGCAAACCATTGATCCTGGTCTCTTGAATGGGGACCAAGAATATTTATCCATCTGTACCCATCTGGGTCTTCAGTAATCTACGGAGGCTCTCCTCTGGATGTCCTGTCAGGTGAAAAAGATAGGAAGGCCCCCAAGTGAAATTTACATGGGGCCCTTCCTATCTAATTCTCTCCCCAGATAGGTCTGCCTGACACCCACCTTGATGTCCTTTCAGCCCTTGGCTAACACACTCTTTTGCCAAGCATTTCTGCAGTTACGTTTTTCAAATCATCATCTCAGGTGCTCACATTGTACTAGGGTAGTGGCTTTTTAATGTTTTTATTATAACTTTCCTGTGCTGTTTTTTAATATGTGTGTTTGTATAGTTTCTAACATTTTAAGTAGTTTTGCAATCCATCCAAAAATCATTGAGCAGGTTAGAAACAAGATAAATGATTGAAAAATGAAAAAAGACCTTGTCTGGATAGTTATAATAGAATGCTTACAGTGGGGCAAAAAAGTATTTAGTCAGCCACCAACTGTGCAAGTTCTCCC